CTTCCGGCTTTTTTCTTTTTGCTTATGTGGTGTTGAGGAATCGAACCCAGGGCCTCTGGCTTGCAAGGCAAGTGCTCTACCACTGAGCCACCTTCTAGCCCCTCCAAGATTTTTTTTTACCTGAGCACATGGGAGGATGATGGAGGTGCTATTTATAGAGAAGGGAAGACTGTGAAAGGAGCTGATTTGGTGAGATCAAGCTTCAATTTTGGATATAATGTTCGAGATTTTATTTTACAACAAATCAGATGTCAAGAGATAGAAATTTGAGCTTGAATTTGGGGAAAGACTTACCTAAGATTAGGGAGCTAGCAGTATAAGTAAACCTAGGTCTTCTTGGGAGTAAGACCAGAAGGGAAAGAGAAGCCCAAGGGAGAGAGGCAGAAATGAAGAGAGAAGAAAATAGTTAATAAGGTTTAATTGTAATGAGTTCAAGGAAATATGAAATGTACTAGAATTTACCTGAAGGTTCTTTTTCCCTCATATCTGTTATATCAATATTTGCAGTAGTTATAAATTTAGAAATAGTCTAAATACTTTAATCTGTGAAACTGCTGAATATACCATGGCAGATCTATACAGTGAAGCACTATTCAACCATAAAAAAGAATGCAGACAAGTTCTATGAATTGGTATGAAGTCATTTGTAAGAAGTCGCAAGCAGGGCTGGGATGTAGCTCAGTGGCAAAGCGCTTGCCTAGCAAGCGCAACGTCCTGGGTTCGATCCCCAGTACCAAAAAAAGAAAGACAAAAAAAAAATACAGTTAAAAAAAAAAAAGAAGTCGCAAGCATTGAACACAAATATATAGTTCATGGCTTCTAAATAATAATTCTCCACTAAAGGCTAGACTGGGGATCCTTGGGAGAGGTGGCTGATTTTGTCTGGATCAAATATACGAAAATATAAAATAAGCCTGAAAAAGACCTTGTGCACAAAAACAATGGAAAATGTCAAAAGAACTTAAGAGCTGTCCAGGCATGGTGGTTCATGCCTATAATCCTAGCTACTCAGGACGCTGAGATCTGAGGATCATGGTTCAAAGCCAGCCCAGGCAGGAAACTATATGAGACTCATAAAACTCCAATAAACCTACTCAGAAAACCAGAAGTGGCACTGAGGCTCAAGTGGTAGAGCACTAGCCTTGAGCTGAAGAGCTGAGGGATAGCACGCAGGCCCAGAATTCAAGCCCCATGACCAACAATAGAACTTAAGAACTGGTTAGGAAGGGCTTGATCATGAGCTGGGTAGGTGGCTCAGTGGTAGAGTGCTTGCCTTGCATGCATAAGGCCCTAGGTTTGATTCCTCAGCACCACATAAGCAGAAAAAGCTGGAAGTGGCGCTATGTCTCATGTGGCAGAGCACTAGCCTTGAGCTTTGAGTTGAGGGACAGCACCCAGGCCGAGTTCAGGCCCCACGACTGACAAAAAAAAAAAGAAAAGAAAAGAAAAAGCTTAATTAAATTCAAATAATATTAAGACATTTGAGACATCAAAAAATGATAATAATGGATTATAATATCTTGGGTAAGAAAAATAAATAATCTATGAATCCATAGTAATCCTATAAACAAGTTGTATAAATGAGAGAAAAGGTCCTGCAAGAGCAAGTAAATTTGGATGATGTGACTTTTTCAGCTTTTAATATGTGATTAATTTAGGCAAGTCATTAGGGATATTCAAATCCATTAGGTATATGACCACTGAAGAGCAACATAGTCACATGATTTGAAAGAATCATCTTACATATTACTTTACATAGGGAGAATAAGGTATTTACAAGATACAGTATACATCATCTTCTCCAGATGATCAAATGTAACATCACAATGCTTGATAAGAAATGTACTCATTATCTTGCCCATGTAATTGTAACTCCTCTGTACAGTATTTTCACAATTAAAAAAAAAAGTAACATCACAGTGCAACAGAATAGCACTATATGCATTGGGT